GTGTGTGTGTGTGTGTGTGTGTGTGTGTGTGTGTGTGTGTGTGTATATATGTGTGTGCGTGTGTGTGTGCATATATATGCATGTGTGTGTGTGTGTGTGTGTGTGTGTCTGTGTCTCCTGGGGGCTAAGCCCCCTTGTCCTTAAAACCTAGTGACACCCCTGATGGAGACTTTATTAGCTGATCTCATGACAATAAACAGGAAATTGGCAAAATGCAGGAAAGTACACAGATTCAAGTATAATCTGGAGGTTGAGGACATCTATGGGTTAATAAAACATAGCTCCTCTGAAACCTAATGAAATCCAAGAAAATCTGTCAGGATAAACTTAAAATTCCTTAAAGGAATATTCCAGAACATTATTGACTTTGCCATTTGGTGCAGGGGGATACAACTGCCTTCAGTAAATGAATTTCTTCTGACCTCCTGCTTCTTCTCCTCTCCAGCCTCCTCTTCCAGTTACAGCCCATCTGCTGCCGGGGACGACCGCAGCATCTCCAGCTCCTCATCCAGCCAGTCAGAAACCAGCTGCGGAGGCAGACCTCCCTTCTGGATGGAGCCGTCGCTTAGATCCCTGCTCTCCAACGAGACAGCGTCCAGCACGTCCACGCTGAAAGCTCTGACCAGATCAGAGGACCGACTGGGGGGCCCGGGGATGGGGGGGCCTGGGAGCCGCCCGTCCTCTGCCCAGCTCTGTCCTCGGGGCCTCCATGACAGCGGGCGGCAGAGCTCCTTGGACAGCGGGATTGGGATTGCGACCGGCAGCCAGTCGTCTTACTCTGGGAGCTACTCCTCGTGTGCGGGGAGTTTGGACATGGCCAGTCAGGGAGGCGGGGAGGAGTATGGCTCAGTGGTCAGCCTTCCTCCTCAGCCTCCCCCTGCACCTCCTCCAAGCCCACCTCCGTCACCTGTTCATGGACGCTCTGCCTCCTCACAGGCCTGCACGTCTAAAAATCGTGCATCTAACAGGCACAGCGAGGAGTACCAGCCCCCCAGCCTGCTCAGGTGGTGGTATGACACCCCCAGGAGTCTCCTTCAGGCCTTGTCACTGAGAGGACCACCTGCTCGGGGGGCCACACCTGACCCGAGCGAAGGTGATGGTCAGGGACAGGTGTTAAACACAGACGAGAGGACAAACTCTGTGGACCCTGAGAGGACAAACTCTGTGGACCCTGAGAGGACAAACTCTGTGGACTCTGAGAGGACAAACTCTGTGGACTCTGAGAGGACAAACTCTGTGGACTCTGAGAGGACAAACTCTGTGGACTCTGAGAGGACAAACTCTGAGAGCAATGATGGGCGGTCCACACCCAGACCCCAGCTCGTCCCTGTAAGCCCAGCTCACAGAGAAACACAGGTACGAGCAGAGCCACACGTCTACATTCTCCCATCCTCAGACTTCAAACTCTTGCTTTTGTTTTGTTTTTGCTCCGACGTTTTTGCATTAAATGATAAAATAAAGAAAAATGATTTGAAATGATAAGAATTACAGCTGGATTTACTAATAAATGTGACCCATCACATCGAAACGAGGATTAATTCCAAAAGGGGAATGTGGAGAAATGGGCAGATATAGGGTTTTGATTTAAACGTGTGCAAAAATTGCATTTTGTCAAAATATAATGAATTCATGCCTTATCTTATTTGAATGAACTGTCTGAAATATAATCCTAAAAAATTTTTTTGAAGCATGTTTTTAGCTGTAGCAAAAAAAGAGAGAGAAAGAAAGAAAGAAAGAAAGAAAGAAAGAAAGAAAGAAAGAAAGAAAGAAAGAAAACCCTGATTTTGAGGAAAAATGCCTTTTAATGTCCTGATGCATCTCAGTAATCCAGGTAAAAAATCAAAAGGAAAAAAATTGTATAGGTCTTCTGGACGGGTTCTTCTTTAATGAAACGTTTAGTCTCTCCTCCAAGAGACTTCTTCAGTCTGAGAGTTTCAGGCCTTTTAATATTTTTCCCTGTGAGCTAGCAATGTTTTTGTTTCTTTCCACCCAGGGAATCTTAATATACAAATACTATTTGAGGTTTCCTCTTTATATTGACATCAAAAATTACTCAATAAATTTACATAAAATTAGGATTCAGACCCAACAGTAATGCATTATCGTAACCAACAAAACAAATAAGTCATATCTCCAGATCCACTTATGATACCAGAATGATCCAGGTATCAAAATGTAGCTTTTAAAGCCAAGAATTTGAAAATGTAATTAGGTCATTTTGACCAGATTTGACTTAATCCTCATTTCGATATGATGGGTCACAAATAGGCTAATAAATAAATGGCTTTTTTATACCAGTCGAGTTTATTTATTACAATTTTAATCAACAAGGAACTAACAAAGTCTGAGGAAGAAGGAAGGATAATGAGTTTTTATTTTTTTGCATCTGCAATCATAAAAATTTAAATACTTCTGTGTAAGACGACGGTAATCTAAATCTAAAATATTTAAGTATTCTCATTTTTTTTCTTTACTAAATGTCTATTTTCACTGCTAACAAAGATACAAGAATGCTCGATCAAAATGTTTCCTTTTAATTAGTTCTGAAGTGACTCTGGTCAACGAGCTGCGTTCTGCCGTGTTTTCAAACAAAGGGATTCATTCGTGCACTGACGACGTGTTTTCCCAGTTCCTGCCATGTGTGCTGGTCTAAATGACTTTGGTTGTCTTTGGTCTGAGCACCACAGGGTGGGTGTGTGTGTGTGTGTGTG